CAAACATTCCCATCTGGTTTTGGAACATATATATAAGAAATCAACTTTTCTTATGAGACGTAAAGAGATACAAGACTTCGTTGAGAATTGATATCGTGGGCTTCATTGAAATTTGAACCTACTTGTCTTTTAATGGATGTGATTATCTCATGTTAATTAGGAGCCAACGATATGCTCCTGAAAAGAATAAGCATCTTTGCTAAGCTGCCTTAGAGAATGAGTCTCTCTCTTTCGAAGCTATGAGGGAGAATGAGTCTTTCTCTTCCAAAACAATGAAGGTTCACCCACAGTGGTTAAAGCTTTCCTTTCTCTGTCTCTCTGTGAGGCCACTAGTTGAATTGTTTTCTTGAGGTTTGAAGTGCAATATCCTCGTTTTGAAGTCACGAATATTGGAAAGTGATTGTGTGATTTATTTGTTAGTCAAGCGTAGCATTACCAGCCTATTCAGCAACCCAGTGACTGGAAACCAGTTTGTTATTAGTCTAGCAACTAATCCTTGGGATGCAATATAAATTATCATATGTCCATCATAAATGCACAAGGAGTTGCATCTCTAACTATACTGTAGTTGAGTAATTGTGATTCTGGCATAGATTTATTCCCCCGTTTGGGTCACCTTATTTTCTCATTAAAATGAAAAATATGACTGTTATCCATCACATCAACATTTAAATTCAAATTTTCTATCTCTTGTGTGGGCTCCAATAACGGCTATATTTTTCATTCTTATTCTACAAATGGTGGCTCAAACACGGCTATGTGTGATGCTTTCAAGGTTTGGGCATGTTTGATTCGAGTCTTGCAGGCTAACGATGTTTAGCTAGATTGTCAGAATTCTTTGCTTCAATTTCCAACTTTGTAGTTGTGTATAAGGGCCCCTTCGATTCTCATTATTGTAGAATGAGAATGAAAAATATAGTTTTATTGGGCTCTACACAAGAGATAGAAATTCAAAATTAATGGCTTGATGTGATTGATAACGGTCATATTTTTCATTTTTATGGAAGAAAAATGAGACAAACGGAGGCTAAGTATTCTCCGTGTTGGTGTCTTTTAAGCCCCTGTTTGGCCCCCATTTTTTGGGGTTGAAAATTTGTAGAATAGTGATTGATGGAAAAATGTGTGGTGGAAAAGTTTTAGATTTGTGTGTAATATTATTTTATTTGAGAATGT